ACTATATTGCAACGATGCCTTATATTGGAACAGATCTCTTATGTGTGTGGTGCCTGTAAGCTTTTGCTTTGAGTATGGCAATGTTTGAGGGGCCAGTGCAAACGGGTAATTTCAATTCTCTTCACAGTCATGCTGGTAGGTGCCTAAGAAACATTTTCTCCCACTCAGTTAGATCCTGTCTTCTGGTAAGGCTGATGTCAACCAAACCATAGCCATCCAGAAGTCTGGATGCAAACATGGCTACAGGGATGTGAGCGAATCCTGCCAGGATGCTACTGACAAAGTGTACTTTCAAGGCACGGCCCTGTGCATGAACCTTCTGATGGGATACGAAAAGTAGTGGGGAATGTTTTATAACGTGTTTGAAAACTGGTCCTTTAGTTATAATATTTAGAAGAAATTGCTCAAGTAAAAACATTTTGCCTCCTACCAAATGAATTACACAATTTACCATAACGATAGGGACTTCCAGTGTGATCTTGACTCAAAGATTACAGAGCCATCATTGAATTATTCAGATGCATGTGGCTTCTAGACAAGCACACTGTTATTTTTGTTTTTCATTTTTTTAAAGTCAGAAGCAGCACTGTCATGGCCTGTTTCAGACAGATGGGCCTTGAGCTGTTCCAAAGGTTTTCTGAACCTCCAACTTGGCTCCTCCATGGGCACCAACTGTAACTGGAATGGGTTGACTTGTTCTTTTAATAATAACTACAACAAAAAACAGGGAGAAATTTTTAAGTGACATGACTTTTGAAGGTTGATTTCTGCATTTACAACTGAACTAGGTGACTACACTAACTGTCTTATTTCTGTGAAGGTATTTATCCTGTTCTTTACCATTCAGATAAAACCATGGCACCTTTCAAAAGTTACTACATGTCATAAATTCTTTAGATGTGTTCCACATCTGTCAAGTCCTGGGCGCCCAAGGGTTTAGCAGGAACCAGAGTAGTTAATTGCCTCTGAACCCCTCATCTGTTTTGGATGCCTTTTGATTTGTCACTTTCTCTGGACTATGCCTATGCTTTCTTTTATTGAATGTAGGGTAGGAGAAGAGGAGGAATGGAACTATTTTCCTAATGAGTAATAAAAAACACTGCAGTGGTGCAGGTAGATTTCATAGGAAGAGACCACGCACGCACACACAGACACGCCTCTGCTGGCAGGGAGAGCAGTAGGTCCCGTGACTGCTGCCTGCCTTCAGTTCCTGACAGCCTGGCTCTGTGCAGGGCCATCCTGTTGGAACTGACGGGGAGACTACATTTTCTACAGTTTCACAAGTCTTTTGTTGTCACTGGTTGTATCATGGCCCAGGAAGAACTAGAAGCTATTAATCCTACTTATGGAAGGAAGGATCCCATGCCCTGGATTCTCCTGGACCCCAATTCAGCGTCCAGGGATATACATCCCACCAGGGGAGGAACAAAGGCACAGAGCTGGCCCAGAAGAGGTGTGGAGCATTTTCCTCATCCTGTTTACTTACTGTGCTTGTCCCTCCACTCACAATATTACAAGCTCACAATTGGGAGGGGTTTCGCTGTTTTTTTGTTCACTGCTGTATTACCCGTACTCAGAACGTCCTCTAGCACATATTAAGCCCTCAATATACATTTGTTGAGTGAAATAAATGCCCACCACGTACTCAGCATCCCCAAGAAGTTCCTCTGCCTAAGCTCTCACAGACCTGAAGGTGGTCCCAGATACCACAGGGGACTGATTATTCATTTATTCAATATTCATTTTCATTTTTTATTGAAATGTAGTTGATGTACACCTTTTATTGGTTTCAGAGGTACAACATAGTGATTCAACAATTACTGTGATATCTTTTTTAGATGAAGGCTTCCAGATAAAGTTGTTATATTGTATATTCCCTTTAAAATCACATTTTCTCATTTTAAGTGCCTGGATTAAAATCATCACAGTCCTTTGGTCTGTGACAACTTTAAGCCTACTGGTCATATCAGTTGTAGTTAATACTGTGATAAAACACATAGCTAATACATCTCAAGTGTTACATAGCAGCAATTGCTAAAGTGGAGGCAAAGTCCAATTTTTCTGTATCATTTTTCTACCATTCAAAGCCCCACAAATGGGAAAGGAAGACATTTCAGGAAGGGAGACGTGCAGGAAAGAGAGAACAGAGCAGGCCCGAGGCTGCTCTCTTTATTCGGGTCTGTTTGTAAGGTTTGCTTCCTGCTGGTGTCTGGAAGCTTCGCCTTTGACCCACTCCCTGACTGATAAAAATGGTTTGCTCTACCTAGACTGTGCAGACAGCGTGAATTCTATTGAATACCTGCTTTCCTTTTTGGAGTTTGGAACTAAGGTTGTTGGTGGAGGGTGACTACATGACCAGCCCCTAGAAAGACCCCTGGGAGCTAAGTGTTTTCCCAGGGCAGCACTGTATACCCTTTCCTGAATTTGTCTGTTGGAGAAAGGAGCACATTCCTGGGCTCCTCGTGTGTCTCCTCTCTACAGGGAGAGCACATGCAAAGCCAGGCATGATTTCTCCAGCCTGCCTGTGTTGTGTCTCTCTTGTTGATCCTATCAAGCACCCTTTCACGTTAACAAACCTGAACCGTAAGTACAGCTGTGTGCTGAGTCCTGTGAGCTCTGGTGAATCCCTGAATGTATGCACAGTCTTGGGGACCCCTAAAACTTATTCAATAGCTGGGACTCGAGTCCTCAGAGCTGGCAAAGTTGTGTCTGATGGCTGAGGCAGTTTGACTCAGGGCCTGTGGTGAGCATGCAGAATGCAGACGGGGAGTTGGGATGAACCTCTGGCTCTGAGCCGGAACCTTTGCCCCAGGCTCAGGGTGGGTTTCCTCCCTGCCAGCTCGCCTGATCTGTGTGAGGATACATGGATCATGGATTTGCTATACACAGGGTTTATAATGCTCAAAGTGGGCTGAGCAGCATCCTTTGTTCCCGTCCCCAAGGGACTGGAAGGGAAGAAACAGGCATTTGCCACAATTCCTGGACATCAGATCAGAGCTATACACCCTCACCTTGGACCCTCTCAGGGTAAGGTAGCTGAAAAGCTCTCCCTGTTCTCTCATTTCATGGAGGGACTAGATAAGTGGGCTCAGCCTTTAACACGTCCTTCCACTGGCACTGTGGCTCAAAAATGCCCTAGCATTTGACCATCATAGAAAGGAATCTTCTAGAAAAGAATGTGGGGGTTGACCTCTCCCTCTCCTTCTTTGTTTTTTGTATTGGGTCGCATAGGGGTGGATGGGGTACAGAGCTCCCAGTGAAGAGGACTTTAAAGCTCTCTCTACAGACCCATATTACGCATATTTTCTTCTGCCTTCAGGTAACTCAGGGTGCCTGATAACTATTATCAAGGGCACCTTGGGTGCTCTTGTCCCCCTCAGGAGAGACTATCTCCCCAACCCATGCTGTTGGTTTGAAGCATCCATTAGAGTGGTTAAAAGATAAATTGAATCATATTAAGTTTTTTAAAGAGTTTATTTGAGCAAAAATAAATTTGAATTACACAGCATCCAATCTAGCAAACAGGAATTCCAAGGAGCTGTGCAAAATGAAAGACTTTTAGAGGCAGAAGGGAACAGAAATAAGGAAGTTACACTAGGCAAAATCCACTGGGAATTGCTTTAGGGAATGACAAGGGTCTAGTAGGTAGATTACCTAACTAGTACTGATCAGGCAATTCCTGGCTGACTCGTTTGAGATTCCATTTCTGGGAGAGCTGCAACTAAAATTAAGTCTTATTTTAGTGATGTGGGGCTTAGCATAAAGGATTTCACTTTGACTCTGTTGTCTTGTTTTTAGCAGAGGTTATCTGAGGATATTATTAACAGTCTTCTTATCTTGCTCCTAAAAACTTCTGAAATGTATAAAGACAGGATAATAATTAAATTTCATCTCAAGGGCACAGTAGAAACCACCTCTTATAGCTCCTCTTTTATCAGCTATGTTCAAACACTTTCGTGGGAGTTACATGGTTGTGTTCTCAGTAATACAGAGTCAGCAGTAGAGAATTCTACCACTTCTAAGTACTGTTTAACTATATCCTACCAACTTTATGTGCTATTTTTGTTATTGGTTAGCTCTAAATGTTTTATAATTTTCATTTTAATTCCCATGTGACCCAAAAGTTATTTCGAGGAGTGTTTATTTCCAAACATTTCAGGCTTTTCTAATTATTGTTTTTATATTGATTTTTAACTTAATTGCATTATTATTAGAGAAAATGATCAGTATGATCCAGTCCTTTGAAGAGCTGTGAAGACCTGCTTGCTGGCTCAGTGTAAGTCCCATTTTTGTAAATGTTCTGAAATTTTAAAAAATGAATTCTCTAGCTGTTGGGTACATGATTCTGTAAATGTTCATTAGAATAAACATGTTCATTGTGTTTAAATTTTATATAGTTTATTTATCTTTGGTTTTCTTCAAATATCAATTACTCAGAAATGTTAACAGTCTCTTTGTATGGTGTTGGATTTATCTATTTCTCTTTTCAGTTCAATATTATTTAGATACATGTAAGTTTAGAATTATTTTAATTACCTAGTGAGTTGAATTTGTATACATGATTATATATCATATATAACCACCCTTTTTATTTCTAGTAATGCTTTTGCTTGAATGTTGTTTTGTCTAATATTAACACTTATTTATTCTAGATTTCTCTTATAGTATTCCATCCGTATTTCCCCCATCTTTTTACTTTCAACTTTTCTGCATCCTTATGTGTCTTGACTAAAACATATAACTAGAGTTTTTAAAAAATGCCTTTTGATGATACCAAAAGGAACAATAAGTTTTTGATTATATGGTTAAATAGACTTGATCAAAATTTTAAACTTCTGCTCTTTAAAAGACCATTAAAAACATGAAAAGATAAGCCACAGACTGGCAGAAAATATTTGCAAAATATATATCGGATAAAGAACTTATACCCAGAATATATTAAGAATATTTACTTAATTAAAATAATTGGAAAAATGGGCAAAGATCAGTCATTAGAGAAAAAGAAATTAAAACCACAATGAGATACCATTACACAGTGGCTAAAATAAGAAGACTGACAATTCCAAGGGTTGTTGAGGATAAGGAAAAGCCAGAAGCCTCATACATTGCTGTGGAAATGTAACATATTAGAGCTATTTGGAAAACAGTTCTTTATAAAGTTAAACCTAAACTTACCAAATGACTCAGCATTCTCTTAGATATCTCTCCTAGGTATCTACCCAAGAGAAATGGACAGCTATGTCTACACCAGGATGAGTATGTGAATGTTCAAATATGCATTATTCATAATAGCCCCAAACTGTAAACAATGCAACTATTTACTACTGAATGTGGTATAGCCACACAATGAATGCTACTCAGCAATGAAAGGGACTAAAGTACTGATACATATGTGGAAAAATCTTAAAACCAACATGCTAAGTGAAAGACACCAGACGCACCAGACTGTATATTATATAATCCCATTTATATGAAATGTCTGGAAAAGACACAACTACAGAGATAGAAAGCAGATCATTGGTTGCTGAGGGCTGGAGGTGGGAATGGGGATTGGGGATTGATTGCAAGGAGGCATGAGGGAATTTTTGGAGTCACAGAAGTACTCAAAACTTAGACTGTGGTGATGTTTGCACAACTCTATAAATTTACTACAACTCATTGAATTGTACACTTAAGTGGATGAGTTAATAGTATGTAAATTAGATGTTATAAAGATGTTAAACATTTAAAAATGTGTCTGTCCTTTTATATTGTGCTTTTCCTACATACCCGTTCCCCCTCCTTTCTTGACGTCCTTTGGAATTTTTTTCCTGATTCCTTATTTCTCCCTCTGTTGACCTGGAAGTAATGCATCCTGCTGCTACCCTGGAATGGCCACCCTGGCCAACATGCATATTGACAAATCAAAGTCTAGGGTTAATAGCCCTTTTCTTGAGTGACATAAGAATTTAGAACACACTGACTATAATAACTTCCTGCTTATATCTATTGCTAGTGTTGCAATTTTTAACCCCATAGGACATTTTTATTATTTTATACAGCCAATATTTAATTACCCACATAGATACTTTTTTTTTTTTTGCTGATACTCTTTATTACATCTCAGACTCTTCATCCATAATCTTTTTCTCAAAAATATTTTTTTTCATAAGGAAAAATGATATGGTGGTTAACAGCATGGCTTCCAGAGCCAAACTTATTTTTCACTCTGCTTTCTATTTTTGCTTTACAGATAGAGAAACTGAGTCAGAGGGACACTCAGTAACATGTCAGGGTCACATCTAGTTAAGTGGCAGGGGCAGCATTGGAGCCCACTAAACCATTTTTATTTAAATCCAGTAGCATCCCCTTCACTGTGGAGGGCTTTTAATAACCCATGGTCTAAGAAATCTGCTGGTGGCACAGCAGACAGAACCCTTTCCCTGTCAGCAAATACACAGATAGGTTCAAATTCTTCCCATACCTTGGGGTTCATGACATTCATAAAAACTCCTTTGAAAAGATTATTTTCACAAGAAACTCACAGATGAACTGAATTTCAGCCTTATGAATGCTTATAAAATCAATTCCTCTATGTTTCTTGTGTATTTATGATTTTGCTTTAGGTAATTGGAATCATATTGCAAAATTACAAGACAAGACTCTTTCCATAATAATCTGGTTCTGTTTCTGGATCTCTCCACCTTTCCTCATTTATTCCTGGGCAGATCCTTGCTTTAAAAAGAAAATAATAAAATTTGCCCAAAATATAAGGTCATTTACATATTGGTAAGCCTCAGAAAAGATTGTATGATGGAATTGTTAAGTGCTAGATAAATTTTGAGATGGTCTCTGGTGGTGAGGGTCCTTTCAGAAGTGTGGTTAATGCAGAACAGTCTTCTAGGTCTTCCAGGTTTGCTACTATTTCTATTAGTCTTTCAACTGTGTCGCAGGACAGTGTCCCGGAGGCATTTGATCGGAACTTCTCCTGTAGGTCCTTCTGGCTCAGTGGCTTCCTCCAGTGACCATAGAAGGTATCAGAACTCTCTGTGAAGGTGGCTCCATCGCTGAGGGTGACACTCATCTCACAGTACATTGTGTTGAAGCTTGGCAGGTTGTCCTGAGGGTGCTCCAGCTCCACCTTATGGAGCAGCTTTCTCACCTGTGGCCTGTTGATCTGGAGTTTGTGGAATGATGGGACAGTGATGCCACCGTCAAGCAGCATGGCACAGGCCACATACTGGAATGAGTGACGGGCTTCGTGTTCTGAGTCAGGCGAGGGCCTGTTCACATACGGGACATCTGGGATTCTGAGCACAATTCTCTCAATGCTGTCAAAGGGAGGCAGGGCTCTGCCTCTTACAAGGTGCTTTCTCACAGATGCAGCTGCATCTGCCACCCAGTGGGTGGCCAAATGTGCAGGGAAACGCTTGAAGGCCACATCCTGCTGGTCCAGCAGCCAAGTGTGGGAATCGAGGTTTGGAAGGACTTTTGGGGAATAGTTGGCATAGAAGGCCCCAAACCCTGCCTCCATGTCCAAGACTTGCTTGTTTCCTTGAAGACCCAGCATTGCCAGAAAAGCAGCTTCCATCCCATGCCTGGCGGCATTGCCAATGTGCAGAGGCTTAGTCTGAGTGGCAGCATTTGCCATGGGTGCCCCAGCAAGAGAAACAGCAATAGCCAGGGCCTCTTGGCACTTGGTCATGCTGAGTCCTAAAAGCTTGGATGTCGCAGCAGCGCTACCCAACGTTCCTACCACCGAAGGGGGATGGAATCTGAAAAGCAAAAAATCAGAGTTGGAGATTTACAAACCTCAACCACCAGACAGCATAGTGTAGATCAGGAGCATAGGTAAGGGAGCCATACTGTCCGGGTTCAAATCTCAGCTCTACCACTTATGAACTGTGTGATCTTGGGAAAGTTATTCAACCTCTCTGTACCTGTGTTCTCTTAGGTTGAGTGGTGATAATAATAGTATTATGTCATGGGGCTTTGGAAGTTTCACATAATTTCACATGCTCACAACAGTGCCTAACACAGTAAATTCTTTATAATGGTACTGTTATAATTATTTCTAGAAAGGTAAAAGGTATTGATTACCAAAATTCTTTGTAAGTAACTATAAAAATTGAGGGCCTTGTAGAAACTGAAAGTTCACTCAGTATTCCTCTATTGGCAGGCTGGACCAAGTGACAAAATAAATAGTAGATTGAAGTATATGATACAGCCAACAGTTGGCCAGTTTTGACCTGTGAGTTGGACAGTCAGGTTTAGGATATTTAAATGTTCTCAGTCTGTAGAATCCTAGCAAACATGAAAGTAAATTCCACTTTGAAAATGGGCTCAGGAATATTCAGAGTACCCACGGATGCTAGAATGACATGCATCACCCTGGGGTGAGAGGTCCCCATTTATTTCATGGTCCTGGTTGCTTGACTGGCTATCTAAGCCCAAAGGAAATTTTTCATTAGCAATTCTTTAATCACACCTTTGTGTATGGATATATGGTGGCATCTGGTGAACTGAATTATCCACCAGCACTAACTTCAACATCTTCAATGGGCTAACCTCTACATCAGAAAGCTCTACAAAGATAAGGAGTGACAGGTAAAGGAAATGTGGCTGCCCTTCAATGGGGCAAAATCGCTCCATACCGCTTCGGTATGTTATTAGCCTCCTTGGAGAAATGCATCAATCGACCTTGCACTTCAATCCCAACATTGAAAGCCAGCAGCAGGTCGAGGCCAGAACACTTCGAACTTCGAGGCAGGGCTTCTGATAAAGCCACGAGGACAGGAAGGACAGCTCCAGAAGGATGGGTGGCAGGGTGCCACGTGTCATCAAAATCCATTGAGTGAATCTATGACACAAACAACAACCTCAAACCACAATGTATTTCCCTGAATGCAGTGGCTTTTGGACCAGTAAGGGTTTAGTAATAAAACCTTTTTTGATATGAGATTTTTAGGTCTGATTCTCTGAAAATAAAATCTATGAACTGGCTTTAATTCTTAATCACATGTCTGGGCACTGGAAATGCTGTCTTCTGCCCAGAGCAGGTAGGACTTTGGGGAGTGGCTAGTGAACCCCAAGGAACTTGGGTCTTATGTGGCCAGAGCTCTCTGCCACAGCCCTGGGAAGATCTATATCCCTCTTAAAAACAAAAGTGTGGAATTAGATGGCTGCTCCTCTCTTCTTCCCTCTCCATCCTTAATATAAGTTACATTAAAAGTTTAATGCCATTTATTCCATATAAGTCCATGTATTTTTGTACCTTTACATTAGGAAATAATTTCAAACTTATGGAGAAGTTGCAAGAACTCTTAAACCCAGGTTGACTATTAAACTATATTCTAAAATCACTATTTTCTGCTGTAAGATTTTGTTCCTCTTTATCCCAGCCACTTCCTTTTCCTTTAATATGAAATGGTTAGTAATAACCAGAAATTCATTTAAAAATAGGTTTTTGTGTCTGTAGGGTGTGGCTGGTGCATTTCCCACTGTTCACTGGACATTTACTCCTTGGTACACTATTGGGTTTGACTTTCAATATTTGAGCTACTATTACCATAACCATAAAAATATCTCAGAAGTGCCAGCATCCAAATTATATCTTGTAGACTGTCCCTGAACATAGAAAAAGCATAAAAATTGTCAGATTAGGAGGGTTGATTTTTGCTTCAGAAAATATATACTCCATAAAGCCATTGTATCTCAATAAATATCTGTTGAGTGAATGAATGAAAAGTTGGTTACTGGATAGAAACAGGTACTGGCACAACTAATGGAATTGAGTCTAGATATTGGGTTTTATATTTTTTGCTATATACACTCAAAGTTTAGAGCTGAGATATCATAGGGGCATTTTCATCTAAAGGCTTCCATATTATTTCCTCTATTTCACACTTAGTTTGAAAAGCATCTATTCACTATAAAATATGAAAACTGAAATTAGTACATAGAAGAGAGGGCAGGCCACTTCACCTCCCTCAACTTCAATGATCTCATCGGTAAAATATGGAAATGGGGCAATTTTTGAGATATTTCCTGGCTCTGAAATTATTATGATTTTCTAACAGTTGAAGACACGTAAACTTCCTTACAGCCACACCATTAACGAAAGCAGCGTATGTCGGCGGGATCCTCAAGTCTGGCCGGCCCCAAACAGTGCTGGATAGATGGGAACTGTAAATCTGCCACAAAAGAATATCAATCAGTGATGCAGAGTATAAATACAATGTGCCAAGTCACCACTTCAAGGGCTGTTTTTCACCTTTAGAGGCATTACTTTAATAGTCCTTATTTCAACCTTTGTGCTAGATCAAAGCCTTAATCACTGGATTCCTCCCTTGCAGAAGACTACACAACTTTCTCCACGGAATGAAGAGGAGATGCTGCTGCTCGATCCCAGACTGTGATCCAGAGGTACTCGTGGGAATGGAGTCTGAATTTACTCTTATTTACTCCTTGAGGGTGAACACTGGGGAAGTGGATCAACTGTCTACACCAAGCACACCCTTTGTGGAGAGGACGCTACACAGTCCACAATACACTTCCACTCTTTTCAGAGTGCTGGACAGTCTTTTCTCCAGAGACTCTTAAGGAAGTCTTGGCATGAACAAATGATCTGAGATAGAGGCTATTGCTTCTAAGACTCTAAGGTAAAAAATACTTTCCACCATAATAGTAAACTATGAGATATTACTAGTCGTAAAACTGATCTTAAGGCAGTGACTTAGTAAAGGGTACGGATGAATGTTAAAACTCAAACAAAGAGATCATAGAAAAGCATAAAGCTATATACAACAATGCTAGATATGCCAAGAACTGTCTCTAAAGTGAAGAGTATAGTAGTAGAACACAAACATACATCTCCGGGTAGACCCATGGGGACAGCTCATGAGCAAGCATATATGCACACTTGGCTTAATATCTAAGGTAGACATTGGGCTTCTTACTTTACTATATTTGCTGGCTTTGTGAAACACGTCCGTACTGGTTCCCAGGATCCCAACACCCAGTGTGTCCAGAATCATCCTCTTGCTCCTCTGAATGACGCGATCAGCCAGGTGTCCCACCTGCAGGCCATGGATCACTTTGGCAAAGCTCTCTGTGACAGACTTTAAAAGGGAGAGTGTTAGACTAGTGCCACATTCTCTTTGTATTTGCATACTTCATTGCTATACAAGAACCCGAGGTACGTTTGCTCCACTAGAGGAAACGCAGTGGATCACACTAAATTCAATCCCCCCAAATGATGAACACTGAGCACCTATTATGTGGAAGGCAGAGGGATGTAGAAATGCACAAGAGCCAGGCTCTGCCCTCAGTCGAGTTGAGGACACAGACTAGCCTGCAGATGATGACCACAGAGTCTGGGGGCTGTAGTGGCAGGAAGCGCAGAGCAGGGGTGTGGGAGGGACATCTCACCCACAATGTGGGAGTGCCTGGGTGTGTGTGCATTCAGCTAGAGCTGCTGTTATTAGCTATGAGCCAGGTATCCTGCTATCATACAGTATCCATACGAGTCTCAGCTCACTTTGCAGGTGAGGAGCTGACACCTAGGAAGGTGAGTACTCAGTTACACACTCTTAAATGGAGATTGGACACACATTTCTATGGGTCTAACTCCAAAATCTGTGAAGTTAACTATTAAGCCACCATTTGCTAAAGTGTGGTCTACGGAAAACAAACCTCAGAAATGCCTGGGGTTCTTGTCAAAAATGAACATTTCTGGTCCCCCCTCCAGATCTTCAGAAATAGAGCCCCCCCAATCTAGAAGCTTTTGAGGCATAGCACAGGATTCTGTATTTTTAAGATCTTTGGATGAGTCTTAAATGCTCTAGTTCTGTCACATCCAGTGTGGCAGCTGCTCTCCACGTGTGTCTGCTGAGCATTTGAAGTGCAGCTAGTCCAAATAGGGATTTTGAGTTTAAAAAAATGGACTTTGAAGACCTAGGAGGACAAAGGGAGTATAAAGCATCTCATAAATAATTATGAAATATTGATCACATGCTGGAATGATAACATTTGGGATATATTGGTTACATAAAATATATTATTAAAATGAATTTCATTGGTTCCTTCCTACTTTTAAAACTANACATGCTGGAATGATAACATTTGGGATATATTGGTTACATAAAATATATTATTAAAATGAATTTCATTGGTTCCTTCCTACTTTTAAAACTATTGCTACTAGAAAATTGAAAATTACATTTGACAACCCCTTCCTATTCTCTCTTGTTGATGGAGATTTCTGTGAGGTGTTCATACCTGCACTGGTTATGAAAACTTAATGGAGTCAGCCAGGTGGAGGTGCTGGTTAAAGGATGGAAGTTCTAGGCAGAGGAATCAGCAAGAGCTGGCCTAGGATGTGTGACAGGATGCAGTGAACTGGGCGAATTCCAGTGGCAGATCTGCATGCAGAGAGTGGAGGTGAGAGGGAGAACAGATTTGCAGGCTAGAACTGAACAGGGAAAGTTATGCTCTGCTAAAGACTGTCAACAGGAGCCGTCGTGCTAGCCTATGGTCAGAACTGTGTTTTGCAAAGATCTCTGTAGGTGCTTGTGTAGAGAATGGATTGGAGATGGGTAGGCAAGGGCAGGTACAAGACTGCTCCACTAGGCCAGGTTCTGGCTGGAGAAATGGCAGTGCCATTAAAGGAGGGAACACAGAAGAGGAGCAGACCTTTGGGCAACCGTGATGGGCTCATTGTGAACTTGTTGAACATGAAGTGCTTGTGGTCATCCTGGTGGAGAAGACCCTTCTTCTGCTACTACCCACAAACCAGGTAATAAAAACCTGCAGGACTGTTTGCATTTCATGAGCAGTGGAGTACTTTGCAATTCCTTTAAATATCAAGTTTTTCAATGCAAAGCCAATTATTTTCTACACATCTTCATAAGAAGATGTCTATTATGTATAGTTACAAACATCCACTCTTAAGTCATGTTTCAGTGACGATGTCTAGCATTTAGTATCACTTAGTAAATGTCAGATCACTTCCCTTTCCTGCTCCTATCATTGCATCATGTACAACTTCTTTTGTCTCTCTGAGCAGCAGATACCTCACTTTAAAGCATTAGCTGTAGGGTGAGGAGCTCTTGGATCGGAGGGTGTGATGTGTCTGGGTTCCTCTGGGCAGAGATATAAACACGGGACCAGTGCCCAGATGGAAGTCCCTCGACTTGACCACCAGCTAGTCCCAGATTTCAGTCTGCAGATTACCAAGTCAGGGAAACCCTGCTATTTTCAAAAGGATGGCTACCTATTGTGTCTCTGAAGCTTTGGTACAAAGCTGAGGGGATTCTGGTGTGCTAGACAGTAGGAGAGAAGTTGGCTGGGACAGAAAGGGTGCTGGCAGAGACATTTCTGATTAGGATGGAGGATAACAATAGCCCTGATGTTGTGCTGGGTAAACATACTTAGGAGCAGAGGGAGGGGAAGGAGGTAAAATCACTAGCTTGAGGATCCACCAGGTAAACCTAAAAGTTCCAAGTTCTAGTTGGATCCCTTGTTCTAAGCAAACTACCCCTTGTCAGCCTCTCTTCCCACGTGCACAGTTCCCACGGGTGCCTGGCTGGTCGTCTCCTCGGTTAGACCTGACCCGGGAGTACCTTAAGGGGAAACATGTTTGCCTGGGGAGTGTGTGGTGCTGGGGCACCGAACGGAGCCTGCAGCGTCATGGCAGCATCCATCCACAGTCCCACGACCATCCCCTGATGAGTCCTAAACACCACCCCCTGCGTCAAAGGGCAAACGGACCCTCCTGGCCCCGGAGGCAGGAAACATGAGGAAATGAACACGCAGCTGCCCAGCTGTCTGCAGCCTTGCACCTGTCTATTTCTACAATACCTTTTTGCTCTTCTTGACTTTCTCATGGCATTTGCTTTTCTTTTTCATAAAACACTGTGACTAATATATAAACAAGGGCAAAATATGCAGTCATTTAACAGATATTTCACAAGTTCTTGCTATTTGTCTGGCACTGAGATAAGCTCTTGGATACCAAACCGAGATGTTGTGGTTCGGGCTACAAGAAGCTTATCTTCTCCGGGGAACTAAGGACAGTGAACAGATCGTGAGAAATGCCATCTAGCTGTACCGTAATGGACATACACAACACCAGGCAGTTAAATCTCCATGAATTTAGAAGGATTCATTTTCTTCCTAATTTTATATAACAGAATCGTGTCTCTGTTGGCAAAACACTGAAGGAAAACAAGATGCAGTTCATTATAAAGCCCAGGGGCTATGAGAAAGATTAAATTGCCATTTCTGAAGTGGAAGCAGGTAGCTCTTAAAAGCAGAGGGCAGCTGAGGAAATCGAGAAAAGAAGAGGTGAGCTAGGAAACCCATTTAAGTAAGCCAAGTAAAATATAACTATACCTTCAGCATCATGTTGTTTAAAAGAGGAGGTTTGTCCAGGAGCGCAGTCCACTTACCGTGTGACTGCCTTTATACCCCGCGCTCCTCTCAAACCCATTATCTTTCACTTTGTTCTAACTCAGAATTTCCACTATTTCAACACCTCCCAACTAAATTTACTTCAGCTTCCTCTGTACTGAATTGGTTAACTCCCCAGTAGATGAAGAATTCAGTAAGGCCAGAAGATACAGTAGCAATAATCCTATGACCTCTCCCAGGCATCAGGAAAGTACATTAATGCAAAACCAGGATGGCATCTTGGGCCTAGGCGCCATGGGTCAAAATCAGAAAAACAGTCACCCTCTTTCATCTGGATATTTGACTTCTAAAAATTTATCCTAAGGAAATAAGCATGGATGTATGGGAAAAATTAGCAAAATAAATAAACAGATAAATAAAATAAAATTCATAGACTTGTTTAGCAGATTAAAAATCAGGAACAACCAAATGTCCCCAAATGCTTGGTTATGTAAAATACCGCATGTACAGTATTTAAGGCATATTCTAATTTTCCCCTTGCACGTCACCCCTGCTGGTCACCATTGTTTAGGGACAAATGTGCCCCCCAGCGTTCCTGGCAGCTTGGGGTCACAGACCAGGAAGGGCAGTGGGAGGGAGCCTCATCTCTTCCCAGCTCATTCCCTTGTTTGTTCCTCAGTTGCATTTGCCGTATGTGTTTTCCATCCCCGTTCTGGGTTCTCTGCCTGGCCTCTGGGATATGCTGGCTGCTTCTTGCTGTTGTCCAAGCTGACTCCAACACAGCCCGTCCAGGCCTCTTTGCTTAGGGTCAGCCGCTGTGGCCTGGCTAGCATGGATGTGGCTCTGCCCCTCCGTGTAACTGCAGGCTATCTAGACCTGACCAGTTGGTTTGTCCCTAGAGTGGGTACAAAAAAAAAAAAAACAGGTTACTTAAAATCTGAGCTCATTCCAGCTGTAGTGGCAGAATTTGTCTTTGGGGGAGATTGCGCCAGTTTTGGAGGAAATCTCCACCTTGGGGTTCTACCCCTGGGAAGGAAGGGAGAGTCTAGGACAAAGAGGAACTAAGCTGCTGTGCATCAACAAAAGGCTTTCTTGTAGGTTGGCGGTGCCTCTGAGAGGAGAGGAGAAGAGGTTGAGTGGTTTTGCTTCTCTTGGTTGGATCCTGTGAAAAAGAGTGTTGCAGCTCTGGAGACAGGCCCGAGGGCAGGGCCAGTGGGAGCCCCCACAGATGGTGGGGGTGATAACCTGGTTATAAGCCAGAACCCCCTGGGGGTGTAAGCAGGGAACTCCATGTGGAAGGCTCCAGGCAGACACATTTAGGGACCTGTGAAATCAAATATCTAATTTGAAGTTTTTCTTCACAATATGCTAATTCCCTTGTCATGCTCAGGGAAGTGTGTTATGTACTACAGCCTAGTATCAGTCGTGTCGTGCTTTGGGGAACGAAGGCAGCGGTGGTTTTGTGCATGGAGTACAGAAGGCTGGAGAGAGAAGCTCAAGGTACCAATCAGGGGGAGAAGTGACCAGCAGCAGCTTGGGGAATGTAGGTACTTTTTGGTATCCTACGTAGTTAAGAAAGCGTCAAGGGATGGTGTGTGATTGAGCTACTTGGATGGTACAGGGAAGAGGAGCTCAGAAGGATGAGTCTGGGGGAAGTTTAGATTCTACTTTTAAGACAATAGCTGCCTAAAGGGGGCTTCCCAGCCATGGCCCAGGCTGGGGAAACCCAGACTAGGGTCAGCAATGGCACGGGCACACACGGTGGTTGTGTGGGTCAGGATACCATTCAGTTTTTATTTTATATCCCTGGACTCCAAGGCCAACTTCCAGTGGAAGAGTGGATTCTTATTTCCAAAGCAGAAGATGGGTGTTTTGGGGTTGTTTGGACAGAGTCCAGTGAGAAAGAACAATCGCATTATAACATTTTGTGATTTACTGCCAGATAGTTCACATGAATTGGTATTAAGAGTGATAATAGGCAGTGGAAAGGAAACAGACACTTAGTTTGAAAAACACTTAAAATAGAACTATCCAAGCATTATCTCAATTGGGAATTCTAGAGTTTTCAGCTTGCATGTCCATACTTAGACATCTCCAGGTTCCTAAGACCACTTTTACAAGAAAGTGAAGAATGGTCTCTAGTGGCTTCAACCAGGTCACAGTGGGGGAGCTTTATAAAAGAATGAACTTTGTCTTGCCTTATGGGCTGTAATAGAAGTGCTGCCATTTAGCTTCTCAGGCCTCAGAGAAGTGGTTTTTGCCACTACTGAATACAGAAGAAGAGCTAGTTCAATTATTTGCTAGTTTAATTACTTTGTACTTTAATAGAACTGTGACCAACTTAATGACTAAGACCCTTTGCAATCAGAGTCACTTTTTAACTCTCTAGGGGTTTAAGTCATAAGCTGTATATTGATGCACCTCTCCAGTCAAAACAGTTGATAACTGCCTCTTGTCTTTTGCTCTTAGCTCTCAGTAGAAGCCAGAGCCATTGTTTTAAAAAGTAACTTTCTTCTTCCACCACTCTCTTGGGGAAAAGCAATGCAGTGAGCAGCCCTGTACCAAGGCCCGTGTGGGGGAACTGAGGTCTCTGGCTGACAGCCATCTGGGGCCCTCATCTCTCCATAGCGAGTTTGGTCTTCAGAGACTGTGGCCCTGGCTGGCAGCTTATCTATGACCTGGTGAGACCCTAAGCCAGAGCCACCCCTCAGCTGCTCCAAGATTCCTGACCCTCAGAAACTGTTACAATAATAAAGTTTGTTGTTTTAAGTGGAAAAGGCTTGTGGGTAATATCTATTACACAGTATTGGATAATTAATACAAACTCCAAGCTGTTGGGCCCTTGGGACATGTGAGGATAGTTACCTCATATTGTCAGAGTAGGTAGATAGGCAGACGTGAGCAGGGAAGGGGAGTGGGGACTTCGGCTGGTGTTCATGGTTGGCTGGATGCCTACATTCTACATGTTCCATGTAAGCTGTTCTCTTGGCATGTGGGGCATGAAAATATACAACAGACCAGCTGAACCTGGCAGGTTCCAACATGGAGGAGAAGTTGACCCAAACTTAGCCCCTCAGTACATTATATACTCGTTAACATAGTAAAAATCATACCTCCCCTGTCATGACAGTTCCAATGAGAACCAAATACAACCAGAAACCCCCATCCTACGTGAGGGTGGAGCAAGCCCAAACTCTATGAAGACCCTGACTGTTCCCTTTTAAAATTCCTCGCTTGATAAATATTCATACCCCTTTACATACAAAAGCTCATTATTGTCTCTTCAGTGCAAATACTTCTGGGTCTGTCCACCTCTCAGGCTTGTGCTTTCACTTTTCTCTAAAGCCTTATTCCCCAAATAAATTCCTAAGGTGCGAATGCTGTTTGCATCCGTTCTTGAATTCTTTCTCATGACAGTCCCAAGGACCTGTGTCCATTAACAGTATTGGGCTTAGCATCTCCCCCTCCCCCTGCAAGGCGCGTGGCCTTCACTGCTTTAAGGGCCTTTGCACCAGTGAGTCCCTCTCACTTCTCCTGTCTTGTTCCCACACCACACAACTTTCTTCTCATCTTCCATCTAAGTCAGTGGTTCCTAGCTGAGGATGAATTTGTCCCCCAAAGGATGTTTGGCAATGTGGAAGACATTCACAAATTGTGGCATTGAGTGGATGGGGCCCAGGGATGCCAGTAAACATCCTATACTGTACAGAACAGCCCCCTACAGCAGCCCCCTAGTCCACAATGTTAACAGTCTTAAGGTTGAGAAACACCTGTCCAACGTAGAGGTTACATCTGGGAGCCCTCCCAAACATCCTAAGTGTAGGTCAACATGCCCCACCTGCAGGTCCCGATGGGCCCGAGGGTTCCTGCTTTATATTCCTTATCAGACTGGAAAGTTCTGTGTAGGTAGGGAACTGATCTGCTCCACTGATCACTACATCTCAGGATATCACACAGGACTCTGTACCTAGTAGGTGCCAATAAATTTTTGTTGAATGAATTAATGTAAACTGGATGCTTTCAGTAAGTCCATCATGCTAACACATGAATGAAGTTTAACCCCTGTTTGTTCCCAGTGGAATATGTCAGGAAGATTTTTTTTTTAATGGCTATGGCTCTAATTCTACTGTGGAATGCTGGTCTTACAGCAAGTAGAATACAATAAACAGACCTTTCTCTTCATCTTGACAGCAGCAGTTCCAGCTATAAGGGTTGCTTGTGAATGTGAGCTATCATAGTAAATCAGGAATATTTAGAACAGCAAATCAGGGATGTGACAGGCAGACTACAGCTGAACAATGCAGGGGTCGTGGATGCTGACCTTCACATAGTTGGAAGTTTGCATATTACTTTTGACTCCCCCCAAACTTAAGTGCTAATACCCTCCTGTTGACTGCAAGCCTTACAGATAACAATGAAACCAATAAATTAACACATGTTTTGCATGTTATATGTATTATATACTGTATTCTTAAATAAATAATAAAGCAAGCTAGATTGAAGGAAATGTTTTTTCAAATTGTTGCAAATCTAAAAAAAAAGTCCAATGTATTATTGGAAAAAAAAATCCATGTACTGAACCAGCACAGTTCAAACCTACATTGTTCAAGGGTCAACGGTATTTCTAAAAATGAAAAACCATTTAATCTGATCAATTTTACCCTTAACAGCTGATTCGGGATATGTGACTTTCAGTATCCCTTTTCCTGCATTACCCTTCCTGTGCAAATATTGAGCAAAATCTAGTCCATGTCTGGACTGTAGTTATTGTTTCATTTTTTTGGAAAGCTTATGCTTTATCAGAAAGCATAGTGTTGCAACCAGTGTCATTTCCCTGAGTAGTTCTTTGTTATTTCATTTGGTGTATTGAAATATACCATGAGAATGTTTTTGTAAAACAGGAAACTTTGGGGCAGAGTATGTTTAATTTCCTTAAAACAACAACCACCACAGTAGTAATAGCTATCAAAATCTTCTCCTCTACTTAGTGCCGTTGTCTGGGCTCCCTTTTCCCTAGCCCTTAGGTGATAAGATAAAACCAAATTTTAACAGGAAAGATGGAAA